GGAGCGCGGGCGGCGCGGGGAGCGGGCAGGACGCGCCCAGAGACACGCAGAGAAAGGGCAGCGCCGCCGCCTGCTGCCGTCCTCGGCGCGGTTAATCACGCGCTCCCCTCTCGCTGCTGATTTGCAAGAGCAGATTAATCAGAGAGCGCGGCTTGATGAAATTTGCTGTTATTGTGCCCATTTTTAGCAACATCTTTTATTATCTTCATTATTCATTTACAGGGGACCGGCATCAATTATGCAAATGAGTTCACAGACTTTGCAGATTACTTCATTTGCCGCTATTGTTTGTGGAAATTTAATTATTAAATATTATTAAGCTTGCGTTTTCTTCAATTTTCCAAGGCTTAGTTTCATTTGATTTTTCCTCCAGCTGCTCTTCTTTCCTTTCAGTGCCAAAACAGCTCCTCATCAAAGCGGCTCTGGCATGTGAAGACCAAATAAAATCTCCTCAATTTAATAATTTTGATGTTAGTCCCTTGTTCTCAGCTGCTTGCTCAAAGCAATGCAGAGAGGAACGCAGAGCACATTCAATTTAATGAGCAGAAATTGAATTCAAGTTTGTTCGGAATTGACTTCAATTAAGCAGAGTCTTAATGATAAATTAATCTCTTTTCTTTATTCCCTAGAATTTGTTTTTCAAAGTAGGAAATTGGACTACATTGAAAGACCAAATAAAGAATACCAATTTTAACTAGATCATGGAACTGATAGCAAAATTTAATTCTTTATAGTAACGTACTTGGACAAATAGCATTCTTTCTATGGCATGTATTATAATTTATATTCATTGTTACCACTTACACTTCCATGGTGTGGATAAAATGGCAGTTGAATTAAATATGGGTTTGTAATAGACTTCAGAGTTTTAATCTTTATTAAGAAACTCTAATTGAATGCATAATTAGCTTTTCAGGCTTTAGGAAATTTGGTTTAATATCTATGTGAACTGAAAACATTGATCAGGAATTTTAAAGCGATTTTTATGAGTTTATTTTTGAGGAGAAATTATCAGGCTGTGTGTAAAATGGCATTTTGAACTGAATAGCAAGAATCTGAGAAGCAAGGAATTAGGTTCATCCTGTGTGGTCACGGACACAGAGCCAGGGCTTCCTTGGAACCAGAGCCAATACTGGTAATTTTAAGTTCCTTTTATTAAAACCTCTAATGTTCCTTCAGGCCACCAAATCCATTATTTCTGTCCAGACCCTGCTGAAAATCAAACTCACAGCTACTTGGGGATTTTAATGAGGGCGTCCATATTGATTGTTTGGTTACACTGTTTGGGTTTGCTGCCACTGTCAAAAATGTACCTGACATTTTTTTACACCTGAATCATGGATCATCTTTTCTGGAACATGCAGAGCATAATTCTTCGTGCTCCAGTCCACAAAGCACTCTATCTACATATGCCAAGCGTTATTATTGCAGTTCCTTCAGGAGTGACCTTAGAAGAGACGATGTTTGTTCCAAAGAACTTCAAGCTGTTCACTGTGGTATATTCATAGTCACAAATTTAAAATACATCATCGAGAAGAATACATTCAGGCTGTGCACTGTTTCACAGAGTGCATGGGTCCCATCTCCCTGATTCCCGCTCTTTCCATATACTTGTTTTATTACTCCTGGTCATTCAGACATAATGCGTGCAAATTTGACTTTGCTGTGAATTTTAAACTGAATTGCATGTGATGGAGATTATCTTCCTTGTGTGACAGTACAGTATTGTTATTTCCAGTACTTTTTCAGAGTCCACCTGCTCTATGTTAGAATTAAAGATTTATATAATAATAGAATTTTAAAATGGACAGGGCTCTTAAAAAATCACCTGATCCAACTCCTATGTTTTATAGATGAGGAAACTGAGGCCCTATCAAGGTTATGTAATTTTCCCAAGGCTGAAGATCCAGCCTGAAGAAGAGGTAGGGCTTAAACTTGCAGGTTAGCTAATTTCTAAACCAAAGAATTCTCCCACCCACCCACTATCAAGGCTGTCTCTAAGTTGTGTAGTGACATCTTTGAGTAAGTGGAAACTAGCTTTAAAAAGACAGGAATTAATTTATTGTCTTGTTCAAACTGGGAAATATATTGATTAAAGTGCATAAAAGCACACACAATCGCAGTAAGCCTATTTATCTAGAACTTAGACAATTGGGAAGCCTAAATAATGGGATTGTTTTGTGCTCTGCTTTAGTGAGAGAAGAACAAATGAAAAGTTAATAGACTAGTATGAGGAATTTTTTAAACAAACAAACAAACAAACAAACAAAAAGCCAAGAAACTTTATATTTCTCCAGGCTCTGGGCATATTAAGTCCTATATTCTATAGTGGGGGCTGACAACAGTTTACATCAGTATTTCTGGTATTATTTTTATTCCATCTTAAAATGGTGGAATCCCAAACCTCCTTTATTTTATTGCAATTTTTCATTTGTTCAACTGTAATGAGCTGTGCTGTACCAGGCAATTTGCTAGATGTTGAAAATTTGAAGACTGATAAGAAAGTTGCAGTCTGGCTAATGGGGAGAGCAGTTACTTCAACAATGATGAGCTGGACTCTAAAGTAGCAGAGAGGAATTTGGGGGAGAGACTGCGGACAGGAAGTAGGAAGGAGAAAGAAGAGAGGCGATATTGATGAGGTGGAAAGGAGGTACCTGAAATGAACTATTCATTTACAGCTTGGCCTAGGACCCACAGAGCCCTCTTGCTTCACCTCTGATCCTTGGGCCATTAAAATCAACTGTGCATTTTCTGTCCATGAGGAATGGCTAGAATTGTACAACTTCTCCTTTGTAATATTGTATAGTAAGTATTTATGATGATTATTTGTAATGTTAGTAATCTGATGACTCTCTAAGAACTCAATGCAATCAAAACAGATAAAAAAAAATCTCATATTAAAACTTGTTAGAGTATTGTATCAAGGTTTTGCAAACCAGTCTTTGGTTCCTGGTGAGCAGAATTAATTTCAATGTTGAGTTCACCAAAATACCACATTTCCTCAACATTCCAAACAACTATCTTACTAGATCAGTTTCCTTATTTATAGACCTATAAAACTGAGTTTCAATTTGTTGTGCAAGAAAATTAAATATAAAAGCAGCATACACAAAAACATCTCAGATTAGACTAATGACCTGTTCTTCTGAATTAAAATTTAAAAATTCAGGCAGAATTACATTATTTCAATGAGAAAATAAGAGTTTATCACTATGTAGTGGAAAACATATTTTTAAAAGTTTAAAGGAAGTAATAGGAATCCAAACAAAAGCTATAGAAGAAGGGATATCACTTCATGGTAAAAGCTACATTAGTTATCCAGGATTGATTCAATGCAGAGAGAGATTGATTCAGAGTTGGACAAACTTCAGTTAGAGGTGAAAGGGTGGGTACTTTTTCCACACCTGTCACCTTAAACTGAATTAAAACACTGGCTCAGAAACATTCTAAATCTGAGTAAGGGGCATCTGATTTGAAATTATGGACCCTTTAGAAGGCCGGTTAATCAGGTGTGATGTTAGAAGTACAACTGACAGATGTAACTCTGGGACCATGAGGTGAAAGCATTTCTTCACCAACTTTGCCTGAGTAATTTAGTGGTTGTCTTGTCAGGCTTGGCCAGTGCACATTTTCTGCTTCATTTATCAACTTTACAACCCCCCTTTACAAAGACATGGATACTGTTGTCTTTGCATCTCCTGTAGGTTCTTCTCAAAAAGAATTGTTTCTCCTTGTTCACTCTCTCAACTTGAGCAGTGAGTGATTTAGTATCTCTTTCTGTGATCATCTAACTGTTTTTTCATTTATTATTTTTAGAGTCAGATAGCTTTTCTAAACCCCACATTCCATACCATATTTTGGTGGTTGACTTAACTGGATGCAATGAACGAACACTTATTGATCCCTCTGGGTGAGGTACTATATGAAGCGTCTTGAGGGCTATAATGATGACCAGGATGGTTACTCTGCCCTCAGTCAGTTCATATATGAGCTGTCAAGGTGACATAGAAATAAGTAATTACCATGAATGTCATAAGTGTTCAAGTAGAGGCAGAGGCAAAGTGAAGACTCTCTTAAGTAAGAAGGAAACAACCTGAGTGTTAAGGACTCAGTTGGAGTCTGTCAAGGCCTGGAAGAGAGCAATGGAGTAGAGTGGGCAGGGTGTGGGCCTGCAGTAAGGTAGCTGGGTTAGAATCCGCTGTACACTTGCTGAGCCCAATAATTCACCTCTCTGAAGCTCAGTCTGCCAGCCGGAAAATATCTGCCTTGCAGAGAATGTTGTCACATATCATCAGAGCACCACCATCTGTGCTTTTCGTCTAAAGTTCTTAGATTTGGAAAGGAAAGAATTTGGCCTCTCAGTACTCTCTGCATCCCCTAATTTCTCCCTTCTATGTGTCTTCAAGGAGGCCCAAGATTCAGCATGAAGTCAACACAGAGGTAGGGAACGGGGAGGGGAGGAAGTGGATGTTCAAATATTCATGGCTTGAGAGAGAGAGAGAGA